ATCACAAATAAAATTCATGTTATACTTGGGAAATTTTCGTGCAAAAATTTTTTGAAATTTTGCAGAAATATTAAAAAAAAAATTTATTGCTTCGTTTGATAATGTTAATCGGAAAATTTGCAAATTTTTGCTCTGATATGCAAATAAGCGATAATTTGCTTATTTCTAATAATTATATCAAATGATAACAAGCGATACATAAACTAAAATTGGATATAATTCATTCTTTCAAATTATCAATATTGTCTTAAAATTAAATTTTATATAATTTTAAAAATTAGATTATTCATTTAATTAGGAATAATATTTCTGTAAAATGAGTCCATAAATTTGTTCATAATATTAATATTTTCAAACTATAATGCTCAAATGTATTGCATATTTAACAAAACAATTTACTAAACAATTAAAATGAGTTTGTCAACTTTTTCATTCAATGCAATCATTTGAGTTAAATAAGTAAAAATTGCAAACAAATGTCATCGATATGTCATCAATAAATAAATTTGTTTGAGAATTAAAATGGTGAATTCAATTCTTTAGTTTTGGTTCAAAAATTATTTCTAATATATATTAATTCAACTTAATTTTAAATAATTGTTTGCAAAATGAATCAATTTGTTACATTTAGTTTTAATTTCCATTTCTAATTTTTTATATTTATTCTTTGTTAATTTATTCTTTCTTAATTTTTCAAAAGGAAGTGTAGGCTTTTTGAGTGAAAAATTAGTTATTATTAATTACTAATTAATTGAATTAAATGCAATTTATTTGATAAAACTTATTTAATGATACTATTTGCATGCAATGTTATTTTGAAATTAAACATTTAATTTAAAAAATTGAAATATTAAAAACAGTTTGTTACTTAATAAATATGAATACTATCAATATGCTATCATTTGCTAATAATTTTATTTTAAAAAATAATTTTTGTTTTAATCATTTATAATTTTTATTTTAAAAATAAATGATAAATAAATGTTAATAATTTTATTTTAAGAAAAGGAATTTTTTTCAGTAGAAAAAATTGATTTATTTATTTTTTTTCTTTCAAACAATCATTTTATTTCAAATTTAATTTTATTTGTTAAATCATTACTATTAATTCATTTAAAAATATTTATACATAGAAAAAGTAAAGGAAATGCAACGACTTATTGTTCATTTTTGCTTTTTGCTTCTTTTTTTTTTTTTTTTTTCTCTTTTCTTTTCAATTTTTTCGGCGTACTTTAAGATAAATTTTTATTTTTCGTTTTGATGACATATTAAGAAAGCTTTTTTTAAGAATTAAAAAAAAAATTTTTTTCACATACTAATTATTATTACCTCCTTGTTAGTTTTTAATTTTTTTTTCCTTTTTTTTTTTTTTAAAAAAATTTGTAATTTTTTTAAAAAAAAAAACAATTAATTATTATTAGCATCGTTACTACCACCTTTTTTTTTTATTATAACTTAACAGCTAATTACAATTTTGCATCATTTATAAATAATAATTTTGTTTTATATCAAATTCAATAATTTATTTATTTATTCGTTTCTTTTTCCTTTCTTCTTCATTCCTTTTTTTTTTTTTATTTTTTTCTAATATTTTCATTGCCTTTTTTTATTTACTTTTTATTTTTGCTTATGCATTATTTTATTTAACCCAAAAAATTGTATATTTGCTTTTTTTTTTTTTTTTTCTCTTTTTTTTTTAAAAAAAATTCCTTATGTTTCATTCATTCTTCTATCGAATGAATATATTTCCGAATGATTCATTTAATATTTTTATGATAACAATAGTATTTTTTTTTTCTTTTTGTCTGCTTCTTTTAGCATTCTAAGCTTTATCAAAAAAAAAAAAAAAAAATTGCTTAATTTAATTTGCATATAATTCATATAACAAATAAATCTTTATAAATAATATAGTTGAGAGTTAGACGATAGAGTAAGTAAATAGTTAAAAATCAATTTATACATGCAATTAGTTAGTTATTTTGTTTTCAGAGATTTTTTTTTTTTTAAGATGGTAGGCAATTTTGTTCGAAAAAAAAAAATTATTAGTCATCAATAGAAAATGTATTATTATTTACTTTCATCTCATTTTTGTAATAATTTTGTTTTGAAATTAATAACTAAAATATTGAAACTATATTAGTATATTGTAGCGATAAATATTTTTAAGTTTTTTTTTTAAGTTTTAAGTAAAACTTCAAACTTTCGATGATTATAATAATAATAAAAAGAATAATATTTGCATTTCTTTAAAATGCAAAAAAAAAAAAAAAATACAATCCTATCAATTGATTGATCGATCGATCGATCGATTAATACGACTGTTCACTGATTTGTCTAGTAATTTATATTGATTTTGAATAAAAGATAATGCTTAGTTATTTATATTACAATATTTTATCAGCAATGAAACATTTTCAAATTTATCACCTTCCTTATCATTTTTTTTTTTTTTTTTTTCAAACAAACTAATACTATCCCAATAATAGTAATAGTAAACTCATATTCAATTCAAACTAATACGATCAAAATAAATCAAACTAGTATTATTGAGAAAAATTTTCTCAATTCAAAACTAGTACTATCTCAAAAAAAAAAAAAAAAAATTCCTTAATTCAAATTAGCACTATCCAAATAAATCTCAAACTAGTATTATCTAGAAAATTTCCTCAATTTAAGCTAGTACTATCCAAATAATTGCTTAGTATCGTATTATCTTTTCAATCTTAACTTATCATTTCTTTGCATAAAACTTCTTCTTAAGTTATTTCATTCTTTTAGCCAGCAAAATAATATCAAATGATTGTAATCATAACAAAAGATTATTCTCATGATTGCTTCAGAACGAAATGGAATAGCAATACTGATCCCACCTACCCATGAATGAATTAACAAAATGGTTCACCCGATCGGCTCCACCCCATCATTTACTCTCGACAAAAGCGCAATTATTGATAGATGAGAAGACGTACCTTAAAGCTAACCAATCATTTCTAACATACAATCTTTTGGTTTCAAATTATACTTACGATGATTGATTATTGATTCACACGAATGTGTTATTTTTTTTTTTAGCAAATAGTTATTGAATTATTATTATCAATTCAAAAGCATAAATTAATTTAAAAAAAAAAAATTAGTTAAATTTATTCTACAATTGCTTCTTATTTGCAATGATCATTACTTATTGTTATCGAAATGATATTTGAATTATTATTGTTATCAATGATAATTTAGTAATAATGATAATAATAATAATAACAGATAAATTATCAGATGCATATTAGATTAATTTGTTATTAACTAATGACTTATAGAATATAAAATTTGACTAGTTTATTTTCATAATTTTTATTACTAGTATTATTCTTACCACTGTCATTCATTAATAATTGCTTCTAGCCTTTCATAAATAAGCTTACTGTTAAATTAATCATTATCATTTATATCATTTAATCAGTTACTCTTTGAACTAAATTATTTGTATCGTTTAGTACAGTAATTCAACATTATTGTTCATTATTATATGATCAATTGATTAAGTTATTAAATTATTTTTTAAATTATTAATTATATTTTACTTATTTTACTTCCTTATTTGTTTTAATTCATTTCATTTTTATGCATTTGAAAAATGAAGTAACATGCAAATTTTATTACATCCTTTTCAAATTTTTTTAAATTTGAAAAAAAAAAAAAAAAAGAAAATCAATGTTCAAATTTTATTAAAATTGTGCAATTATTTGCACTTAAAATTTCATTTCACACAAAAATTTCACACCTATTCGTATATTATTTGTCATTTTAAATATTATATTAATAATTCAATCATTGAAGGATAGCAAAATGATGGTTAATTGTTAAATTCTTGATCACTTTCTTGATCTCTTCCGGATGAACAGTTGCTCTTTGCAGTGAAACTATTTCTTAATGTTCAAAAATAGTTCTTTCATCCTTTGATCTAATCTTTTTCCTTTTTCTTATTTTAATTTTCTTCTTCTTCTTCTTCTTCTTCTTCTTGCTAGCATATAATTTAATAATAATTTTGTTATCCTTTAATTGATTGAATTATTAGAATTTATTAGAAAATGTAAAATATTTTTTTTATTCAGCAATTTATTAATTTTTATTAAAAATAAAATTTAATCTATTCTTTCTCTTCTTGCAGTAAATCTTTTTATGAATTCATTTTAATTTCTTTTAATATGTAAAGATTACATTTTTGTTTTTCTATTTGATCTTTTTTTTTTCTTTTTTTTACAATTACACCTCAATAATTTCTCTTTGAAATTTATATAAAATTTAAATAATGATCAACTTTTCAATAATAATTTCTTTATCCTATCACTAATGAAAAAAAAAAAAAAAGAAAAACCATGTGAATTTGGACTTAACAAATTAAATTTTAAATGTTAAACATAATTTCATCTCATTGAAATTTAAAGTTTTGTTGTGTATGATTTTAAGAAAAAAAAAAAAACAGATAATAATCATGACGTTCATCATAAAAATTGATCAATTTTTTTTTTTTTATTTACAGGTAAAAAATTTTGTTTATTCTATTGATTTGAATAATCAATTGCCAATTCACATGCTGTCATATTTCCTAAAGAATTTTTAACTTATTTGTAAAACAATTTACAAAAATACATAATTAAATGAATTAATTAATTAAAAGATTATCAAGTAGTGTATGATTTTTTCAAAAAAAAAAAAAAAATTTTTTTTTCGTGAAATTTCAATTTTTTTTTTTTTTGCTAACATTATTTCTATCATTTATTTATTTATTATTGGTGAAGTGATATTTTTCCTATATTTTAAATATACAACTCTTCCTTCTAACTGAAAATTATTCTAACTGAATATTACTACTGACAAATATTTTTTGAACAAAACTACTTTTTAATTATTATTATTATTATTACTGAAATTTATTACTGATTGATAAAAAAGTGATAAAAAAGCATTATTGGATGCAAATTGCAGTATATAATAACTATTCAATGTGGCATTATTCACTTTCAACAACAATTTATTCCTTTCTTATCATTATTATCATTATCATCCTTCATTTTCGAACAATTCACTCACTACGCTGCAAATGTAATGCAAATCGTGGACCATCACCATGTGTTGGTGATTTCTGTGACATACATAATCGTGATGGTAAACGTGCTGCATGCGGTGCATTACGACGTTTACGTCAAACAATTTTTGCATGCGTTTTAATTCGTCAAAGTTCAAATGATACATACTGTCATGTAATTGGCAGTACAACAGCATGTTGGTGTCGACAGATGGATTTTTGTAATGTTGATTTAGAAGCAGAGCTATTTGATGTTGATGAATCAATGGATGATAATTCAAATGAAGTATTATTATCATCAACTAATTTCATTACTGATAATTCTCAACATAAACAACAATTAGAATCAATAAAATTACAATCATATCCTAGAACAAGAATTCCAATACAATCATTTAATATTACTACTATAACAATGAAAACAATAACAACAACAACAACAACAACAACAACGATGATAACTTCATTGGATAAAAAACAATCGATGAAAATGAAGATTAATCCAGCAATTGAAATTGATGTCATCGAAAAGATAAAACTTACACCGGAACGAGAAAATCCACCAACAGTTGTTACGGAAATAATTTCCGATAGCTACGAATATACATTAGATGAAGAGTAAGTTTCCATCTTTTTCTTTTTTCATTTGTAAATTTGTTTAAAAACTTGGAAATTTTTTTGAAAAGTTTCGTTTTTTTTTTCTAAAGGGAAGCTAACATAGGCATAAATAATTTGTTTACAATTTAAATATATATGCAATAATTTGAAAAATAAAATGCTTACTAGATAGGTATACATGTATTTATTAATTATCATTATTTAAATTTACAGAAATAATTTGATAAGATTTTAGATGAACAATTTTAAGGTTAAATTATTTATGTGGAAGCAAAATTTAAAATATGAATAAATTAACTGATTTAAAAATGAGCAATAACAAAAGCCATTATGATTGGTTAATAAATAAACAAAGATTTTAAATTATTCCTATTTAAATGAATAATTTGATAAAGAATGTGATAATTAAAAAATAATTGGTAATAAAAATTATTAAATCTTTAGCACAAATTAAACATTTCTTGTATTTTGATCTTACTTATACAATCACTTTTATTTATGCAATTATTTATTTATGTATATAATTAATTCATTATTTATTTTTCATTTTATTTCACCTGTGTATTCATTTAATCTATTCGTGAAATATTGCTAGAATTTTATCCTAAACAAAATACCAATTTTTTGTTTATTTTGATAATTATTTGTTTACCAATACAAAAATATTTATTTCCACTTCAAAAAAAAAAACAAACTGAAAAAAACTGAACAAATTCAATTCTCGACTTTGCAATAAAATCATTGAATGTTTAGTTGTGAAATTCAATTCTTTGGTTTGTTTATCAAATAGAATTTTTACGAATTATTCAATTTCATCCATTTATATTTATATGTTTGTGCACTAATATTTCTATCATTTAAACATTAAACATAAAATACAATTATGAATGAAAAAATATTTTAAAAAATATTTACGTTAATCAAATTTTTAAAAAAAAAAAAAAAGATTGGAAAGTGAGCAAACTATAATTTCATGATTTGAATGATTCTTTGGTGAGTGATATGTTTGATAGTAATTTATTCAAAATTAAATTAATTAATACGACATACAATACAGATAGACCGACACACACATACACACATACATTCAAGCACATGCACACATACATACTCATGCATACATACACATGTACACATACACACATACATACTCATGCATACATACACATGTACACGTACACATACATATGTATTCAACACACACACACACACATTTTATCGTACTAATTTTATTATATTAATTAATTTAATAAGTTTATCGTATTAATTAATTGAATTTTGAGAAGATTGCTGCAAAACAATTAATCATCCAAGTCATACATACATACATACATACACACATATGTACACATAGGACATACAGACACATACATACACGACATACACAGACACACACATACACACACGACATAAATATGAATGTTGAAATGAATACTGTTAATAACTGAACTTATTGATTAACTAATCATAATTAATGAACTGATTAAAAAGTATATCATAATGATATTATCTTTGATGCATTTTATGATAAAATGATAACATCGATTGAAAGTATTGTTTTATGATAAAATGATAACATTGCATATTGGATGAAAGACAAAATATCCGTATCTAAATGAAAAAAAAATTTTTACTGATCGAATGCTTCTATTTTCGTCCGATTTCTTTCTTAATCACTAATGCATACAGAGCTATAATAATAACAACTCGTAAATATTTGTTTTTATAACAGCTCTATGTCAATAATCACCCAATCAATCAATCGATCGATCAATCAATCGATCGATCAGTCAATCGATCTGTGATTCATATTTAACCAATCATTTATTACATAGTTCAATTTAAGTAAATTATTTATTTTTTTATTTATATAATAGCAATCATTTAATTCATCAGTTAGTTAATAAATTCAATTATATAGTTTAATTTATCCAAAAACTTGTTTACCTATCCATCTAATTATTTATTCTTCAACAACAAATAGCACTTAGCTTCCTCTTCTAGCTTTTCAATTTAGCAATTATTCCATATGGACTAGTAAGTTATTTGATTAATCTTACTGTTGACATTTCTCAATATTTCCTTTAAAATAATGACTAACCTTTCAGTTACCTTTTCCTCTTTCATTAATTTCTAACTTTTTTCAATATAAATTCTTCCACTTCTCTTTTTCATTTCCATTAAATGATTAGTTTGACAGGAAAAAAGAAAAAAAAAAAAAGAGAACGAATGGAAATATATAATAAAAAGAAAGTAAACGAAAATTTTGTTTAAAAAGAACGAACAAAAAAATTATCTATAAAATAATTTTTATTCATGTTTAAATTAATTTCATATCTTCGTTTACATTTTATTCATCAAATAATTTATAATTTTCTCTATGAGTTCATCAACAGTATTTTGATTTTGTATGATTCATTAAAGTTAATAAAAATCATAATTAAATTTGTGTGATAAACTTTTAATATGAATAATAAAAATTTCACATCTTTTAAAAATTGAAATTATATCAATAGTCTTGAATATTTAAAAGAAGAAGTATTTATATTATATAAAAGTAATTATATCTATCACCATCAAGATGATCAAATAATTTAAGGAATTTTTTGTTTGTTTTTTTTTTTTTTTTTTTTTTTAAATGAAAGTATTGTGTAACATTTGTAAATAGTTATTATTCAATGATAAAAATACTTTAATATTTATATGAATACTTAAAGAGGCGCAAAAATTTTCTCTTCCAATATTTAATTGGCGGAAATAGTTCGTGTAGTATTCATTAAAATAATTACTCTTTCTTCTCTATTATAATTATCATTGCTTTATTGTAAAACATTCAAAATAAATTTATTTCATAGTACGATGGAAACTGTTAATTTTGTTGTTAAAGTTTTTTCTTGCTTTTTTTTTTTAACTTTATTTTATTATTTTAATTACAGTACTACAAAATTTAATATTAAAAAAATATGAATGATTAATACCAAAAAAAAAAATTATTTTATTAATTTGATATATTTTAATAATAAATATAACAATCCTATTTAAATTATTTTGTCATTTTCCTAATGAATATTTTTAAAAAGTTACATTTAAAATATCATTTTGTAGTTTTGTTAAAAAAAAAAACAACAAGTTTTAAGCCATTTGATAGCAATTTGCAAAAAAAAAAAAAATAGAATTATTGAAAATTTGTAATAGAGAAACTTTTTGTCATTTCCATAAAAATGTAAAAAGCACTTATTATCTTCTTAAATTGTTGAAAAAAAAATTTGGTGCAAATGAAATTTTCACTTTTTTCTCTTTTTTTTTTTCAATATTTTTAAAAGTAAATTTTTTCATTTACACAATTTTTAAATCATTTCAGGAGAAATTGCTAGACAGACTTAAAACTTCATTTAAAAAAAATTAGAAAAATTTGTTAATATATCTTAATTAATTTAGTAAAATTTTTTAATGATAAAATTTTAAATCATTGATATAAAAATTAGTCAGAAATTAATTCAGAAATTGCAAATGTCAGATTTATAAAAATTTATTAGGAAATAGAATATTTTCTTTCAATTATTTTTTATTTACTGTAATTATTTGATTCATTAAAATATATTTGTGAAAGGTTAATAAACAAATAATTTTAACATTAAAACTTTTTTTGTAAAATTTAATCAGTGTTACTCTTATTATTTTAATCAGTGATATTATCAGTTTCAATTTGATTATTTAAATTTATATATTAAAAAATATTAATGCTAGAATTGATAAAATTGCTAATCTTTGAAGAATAATTTGCAGTAAAATTGATTTCATTTTATAAACTGTGAAAATTTTGTATTATTTACAAAAACTACGCAAATTCTAAAATTTTTTTAGTTTCATTTCAATTTTAGGATTTAAAAGAAATTTAAACACAATTCGAATCAAATAGAATTTTGTTTTTTTTTTTTTGGTTTTTTAATTAAAATTATTGAAATAGAAGCAAAGTGTTTGATAAATGAAAATTTACATTTGTGAGTATTTTCTCAATACCTTTAGCTATTATTCAAAAAAAAAAAAATTTTCAACGAAAGTCTAAATAAAACGATTACTTAGATTTGCATTAATTAATTAAAACTTTCCTTTTTTCTAATAATTAATTATTAATAATTTTAATTTTATTTCATACAAGCTTATTCTAATTTTTTAAATTCGAATATAATTTAAATTTAATTACTAACAAATATTCTTTATATGCGTTTTTTTTTTTTCCATTTACACATTTGTGCATCTGTTTTTTAAATTCGATAAAATTCATATTTGCATATTAGAAATGTACGATCACTTCGTCAGCTACCACTTCCCAATTTTATTTTTATTTTTTTTATTTTTTGCATAAAATTAGAGAAATTATTGTGATAAATTGCTTTTTTTTTTCAGCAGATAAAATAAATAATCGTTTTTTCTTTTTTGTTTTTGTTTTTGTTTTTTTTTTTTTTTGAATCGAAAAATTTATTTTTAATCCATGATTTCATTATTTTTCAAAATTTTAGTACAAATTAATAACTAAAATAAAATCTAAATAAAAGTAAAATTTTTAAATATGCATAAAATCTTTTCTGTGATTGGCTCATTAAATATTTCCATTAAAAAATATTTAATTTTTGGATTAGATATTAAATTACACGGATGTATATGCGAACGATAAAGGCTAATCAGTGATGAATATGAATAATAATTATGGAAATGACAAAGGTACAAAGGATTAATATATTTGCACAAAGGTAAAAAGGGGGGAAGAAGGGGGGAAAGGCGGGGGGGGGGGAAGAATTAAAGGATGCAAATTAAAAAGGTTTAGTCTTTACAACATTTCCTTTCTATTATCATTTATTTTTGATTTATATTATCGATTTCGTCCTCTTCAATGAAATGAAACATTTTTAAGCACAAAAACTATTATTGTTATTGCTATTACTAATACTTATTGTTACTGCTACTAATTGTAACAACAATAACAGCAACAATAATGCTAC